GAATATTCGGGAATTACAAGCGTGTCGACCAACAAGGGCGCTCGGAATTAGCATGGACACTGGATCCATCATTCCTGCATCGGGCAGTTGAAACGTTAGGATCGTCACGGCATGCCGCCAACACCATGCAACAGCACGGCAAACGCGAACACCCTGCAAGCGCAACCTTTAAAAGCGACACCATCGACGAGCTTCAGCTTTTATGACTCAACTGTCGGTTGACCATGGCCGCCAAGGCTCCAAACGCATGGCAAGCAAACCTCATCACAATAGTGTGGACCAACAGCGGCGCTCGGAATTAGCATGGACACTGGATCCATCATTCCTGCATCGGGCAGTTGAACGTTAGGATCGTCATGGCATGCCGCCAACACCATGCAACAGCACGGCAAACACGAACACTCTGCAAGCGCAACCTTTAAAGGCGACACCATCGACGAGCTTCAACTTTTATGACTCAACCGTCGGTTGACCGCGGCCGCCAAGGCTCCAAACGCATGGTAAGCAACCCTCATCTCAACCGTGTGGACCAACAGCGGCGCTCGGAATTAGCATGGACACTGGATCCATCATTCCTGCATCGGGCAGTTGAAACGTTAGGATCGTCATGGCATGCCGCCAACACCATGCAACAGCACGGCAAACACGAACACTCTGCAAGCGCAACCTTTAAAGGCGACACCATCGACGAGCTTCAACTTTTATGACTCAACCGTCGCTTGACCGCGGCCGCCAAGGCTCCAAACGCATGGTAAGCAACCCTCATCTCAACAGTGTGGACCAACAGCGGCGCTCGGAATTAGCATGGACACTGGATCCATCATTCCTGCATCGGGCAGTTGAAACGTTAGGATCGTCACGGCATGCCGCCAAGACCACGAAAAAGCACGGCAAAAACCAACACTCTTCAAGCCCTGGTAGCCCGGCAACCATGTTATCATAAGGGCACCCTTTTTGGGGTTGGTTACTTTATAAGGGAACCCATAACCAACAAAAAGGGCAAAGGGTACCACTGGGCTGCCAAGAAGCACAACCTTGCAATGCCACACCATCGACTACTTGGAGGTTCATGGGCCTTACTAACCACTTACAACTGTACTTATAACCCTGCTTATCATACCCCTAAAGGGCCTTATAGGGGGTATCCCAATTATAAGTAGGGTTGCAAGCCCAGTTATAAGTGGTTAGGAAGTCCCATGAACCTCCAAGTAGCTCGGAATGTCTGACTCAGTTGGTGGCAGCTGTCGCCACCGAAGACCCAGCTATCCCCAGCTGGACGATTGTGAGCGCTGGCAGAACAAACCATAAGTTTAGGGTTTAGGGTTTAGGGTTTAGGGTTTGGGGTTTGGGGTTTAGGGTTTAGGGTTTAGGGTTTAGGGTTTAGGGTTTAGGGCTAACATGTCAAGCTCCATCGCCTTCTTTCAGCCCGTCGGCCGTCCATAGAATGCCGCACATTTCTGACGTCTGGCTGCTTGGACACTGGCCAAGAGCCGGTTGTGTTCCAAACCAGCCATGCCTTCCACCCATCCCTAAACCCTCAACACTATTCTGAGTGGTGCTTGATAAAGCCTTTGAGAATTATCTATGAATAGGATCCCGCAAAAGGCAAAGAAGGAACATTTAAAGTTAAAAAATATCCCCAAAGCACTACCCAATATTGCAATCAGGGTTCTAAAAAACAGCGGAAGGTAAGCAACTTCCGAATCGGTACCCAGCCCAGGCAGGGGATAGCTCCTCAGGTACGCTTGGGGTGTTTGTTCCGTACTCAAAGCTGATGTAGAGCAACCACCTATGGCGGGGGTTTCCGAAATTAGGGGGACCTTATGGGGGATCTCATTATAAGGGAATCCTACTATTTGGGGGTCTATCTCAGGGCTCCCCTTAACTATTCGTAAATCCCCATGTATGGCTCAAGGTTTTGGGTCAGCTAGACACTCAAAGCTCGTACCGAGTGGTCGCCAGGTGCTCAGCATTAGCATGGACACAAGCTCACTCATGGTCTCAGAGTCTTTGTGTGGTCATCTCTGCACCATCAGCCGCATGACCCACCGGGTAAGCAAATCAAGCCACGCAAGCAAGACAATCAATCACATAGGGGTTTAGGGTTTAGGGTTTAGGGTTTAGGGTTCTTGTCTGACTGGGTCAGACAGCTTAAGGTGTTCGCAGATCTTGCCCGGCAGGTCCTGGGCTCAATCACAATGCCTACACGCACCAACAAGTGTTACCAGCGTTGCACCCTGAACCTCAAGAACATACTTAAGACTTAAGCCTTGCACCTGAGGCCCTAAAGCCGAACAAGGTTCCCAAACCCCAAAGCCCTAAACCCCCTGAAGCCCTAAACCCTAAACCGCCCAAACCTCTAAGCAGGTCATCAACTCTGCTGGAGGCACTGCGGGCGAAGGCCACGCCGGTCCGTCATGTTGGCATGGCCAACCGTCCCTGAGGTTCTTGGAAAGAATGCCAACGCAGGTCCAAGGCTTCTAGGCCCTAGGCTTTAGGTTAGGGGTTAGGGTCCAGGGTTTGCAGGGGTTTTGGGGCTTTGTCAGGCTTAGGGCTACAGGGAAAAGAGCTTAGGGTTGTGATCGAGGTTGAAGTTTCCAGGGTTCGGGGTTGTCGGGCTGCATTTGCATTTTCAGGGCTTTGGGGATGTGGGGTTTAGGAGTTCAGCGGCCAGGAGTACTCTTATGCGGTTAGAAGCGGTTCATTATGTGCCGGACTGCAAGGCTAACAGCAGTTGGTGCCGCATGCAGATACCCCACAATTCTTAAAGCCCTCAACACTCAACTCTGGTTCAGAGTGCCGTTGTTGGTTTCATGGTTGCTGGAATTGGGGGCTGCGACTCTGCGTTTCAAAGCCTTCCCGAGCCAGATGGCTGCAGCAGGCTGATCTCAGAAAACGCATCCATGCACACATTGGGGGGGGGGGGGGGTGGGGGGGCGAGCTGCTTCAAAATATCAGCCCCTGTCCCTGTTAGGGTTGATGAATATGCACACCCTTCATATGGAGAATGCACCTGAAAAACAAACTTCCCAATCCTCATGGCTCCCCATGCACCCTTATTTTGGGGCTTCCGACAAATAGGGGTATCCTTTTTGGGGGGTCCCTTTGAAGGGGATTCTGTTCTGCTTAGGGTATATCAGGGGGTACCCCAACTTTCGGAAACCCCCCCATATGGACCCTAAACCCTAAACCCTAAACCCTAAACTCTAAACCCTCAACCCTAAACCCTAAACCCTAAACATGGACCAACTGTTTTCTCCCACCCCCGGAGCTTCGGACCGTCGCTTCAGGACACACTCCCGAGGAGAGTGCGCATGCGGAAGCACCATGGGGCCGTCGTTTTAGTGTTTAGGGTCTAGGGTCTAGGGTCTAGGGTCTAGGGTCTAGGGTTTAGGGTTTAGGGTTTAGGGTTTAGGGTTTAGAGTTTAGGGTTTAGGGTTTAGGGTTTAGGGTCCCATGCAAGGGTGGAGGATGTCAGGTTCTTACTTCTCCATGAACCAAGGGGAAAAAGCTCAAACTTTGTTTTCCTACTGAATAGGGAAACCCAAAAGGCTTACTTCTTGGCCAAGTAGAGGTTTAGGGTTCAGGGTTGAGGGGTTGTAACTAGGGTTTCGGGGGGTGCGTGGGGAGGCAAGGTATGGATCGCCACCCTCATGAATGAGGTATCACATGGTGTAGGCAATACGTAGTTTTGGGAGCCGAAGAAGACGGGTTGATGAGGGTAGCTACACACAACATCCTGACCCCTGAGCCCTCAAACTAAAGTGCTCGGGTTCCTACATCTCCTCTGGATCGACCGGCACTCCCCACTCACCCAACAGACGTGCAAAAACAAATTTGCCGCCGCAATGCGCGTGCCGTGTCCGCAACTCAGAGAGCCCCAAGACCCCTGAGTTAAGAGTATAGCTTACTTCATCATAGGGATCCCTACATGTGTTAGGGCCCATCTAAATAAGAACCCTACGTTGTTTTAGGTACTATTCATTCGGATCCTACATGGTTGAAGGTGCCGGGCTCTCTGCGAATCTTTGGGACAAGGAGCGCATCGCGCGGCCTGAATTAACTTCTGGGCTAGGTTGGCCTTGCCATCCCTCTGAACATAGTGAAATAGCTGATCCTCTTCTGAGCCAATAAGGGACATCAAGCCGGATCCTCTTGCAAACACGAAAGTTCATGACGGGTTAACATTGAACACATGCCAAGGGCCCACCTACTGCGCCTAAAGTGAAAGGCGCCATCTTGGGTCCTGCTTGAAGGTTCATGGTACTTACTAACCACTTAGAACTGTACTTATAACCCTACTTATAACACCCCTAAAGGGCCTTATAGGGGTTATCCCAATTATAGGTAGGATTCTAAGCCCAGTTCTAAGTGGCTAGTAAGTACCATGAACCTCCAAGTGTCAGTGTCGATGTCTTGAGGCGGCCATGCTTCGGAACGAGCCGAGGGCACCACCCTCGCTTAAAACGCCCCCGAAGCCGTACAATCCTAAACTCTCCAATCCGTCACTAGGGGCCTGAAGAATTCCACTAGGGTTTCGGAGTTGTTCCTGTATACTTATAGGAACCATAAGGGGAATGCAGTTGGTAATTGTTCCGACCCCTATAGTATACCCCAACTGCGGACGTGCTGAGCCCTAGGCAACAACTTTCACTCAGGGGAGGCCAGATACTTCGGTTTTGTTTTGTGGTAGGCTTTTCGGGCTTCGGGTGCACATCTCGTCGTCAAGATCCTTGGCAGTATGCCGACGACATTCTGGGGTGTCCAATTCGGCGCTACGTCCCTGTACACTGCAAGACAGGTACTGGCCAAACTATAAGAAACCCAAAGCCTGTCTTTAAAGCCGTTCACCCTGTTATGTAACAGGACAAACGTAAACCCTTGAACCCTAAACCCTAAACCCTAAACGCTAAACCCAAAATCCTAAACCCTAAACCCTAAACCCTAAACCCTAAACCCTCAAGCACCGGCCACTGACAGCCTCCAGCTGGGAACTGCCCTCACCGTCCGCACCAGTGCCTGGTTTAGGGTTTAGGGTTTAGGGTTTAGGGTCTAGGGTCTAGGGTCTAGGGTCTAGGGTTTAGGGTTTAGGGTTTAGGGTTTAGGGTTTAGGGTTTAGGGTTTAGGGTTTAGGGTTTAGGGTTTAGGGTTTAGGGTTTAGGTTTTCGGGTTTAGGGTTTAGGGTTTAGGGTTTAGGGTTTAGGGTTTAGGGTTTAGGGTTTAGGGTTTAGGGTTTAGGGTTTAGGGTTTAGGGTTTAGGGTTTAGGGTTTAGGGTGGGGCCTGTGGGGGAGGGTGGGGGTGGGGGGGGTGGGGGACTTTTAGGGATGGGGCTTAGGCTCCAATACAGGCGTCCCCCACTTACCATCAAGCAACAAATACCTCAGAACACATTCCTGAAATCCTTGCACCCTCAGGCCTCGTACCCCCAGCAAGCCAACCCCTCGAAGGTGCCCCAAAAAAAGGGTAACGAGTACCTGAGGTAGCTTAACGACATTGAGATAAGGCTTCTACGGTGATAACTCTTGGAACCCCAAAACCCTAAACCCTAATCGAGGGCAAGTGGCCTGGTGCGCGAAGTTCCCTGGCACCACGCCGTACTTCGACGCGGCAGCTCGCTTTTCCAACTCCTCGCGCGGCTTCGGACTGGGAGCTAAAACCCCAATGGACTCATCCCTGTTCAGGGTTGAACCCTCCCTGTTTAGGGTTCGTTCCCTGTTTAGGGTTGAACCCCCCTGCGTAGGGTTGAACCCTCGATCCCCGTTCAGGGTTGAACCCTCCCTGTTTAGGGTTGAAGCCTCGATCCCTGTTCAGGGTTGAACCCTCCCAGGTCAGGGTTGAGCCCTCCCTGTTTGGGGTTGAGCCCTCATCCGTGCTGAAACCCTCATCCCTGTTTAGAGCTAAGAGTTCTGCATAGAGACACTGAATACTTAATGAAACGTGAGCCTTAGAGGGTCTTCCGGGCGCCCGGCCAGGGGGTTCCTGGCCTCTTGCCGCAGTGTTTTCAAGGACAGCAGGGCGCCTCTACCCAAAAAAGTGATTTGGGTGTGACACTTGGGACACTTCTGGGACCTATCTGGGAGCCCTCTGAACCACCATGACCACATGGACCCTTTCCCGCGACCTGCGCCCCCCTCCCTGACACCTCCCTGGGACCACCACCCCCCCCACCTGGGACTTGCTGAAACCGCATCCTGACAAACCTGGCGCCTTGGCTCTGGTCGAAATCAAGTCTTTATGAACCCAGGAAGTTTCTGGAGGCACGCGTGCAGAGAGTGCCGAGTCAGGTAAGAAAATGTGGATATCTTTCTTCACCTGGAAAGGGATTTGGGTGTGTGAGACCCTTACATAGTGATGTAAAGGAGCCTTGCGAATCGCCGGCCCGATCGAAAACCCTAAGCCGTCAGCCCTAAGCCCTAAGCCCTAAACCCTAAACCCTAAACCCTGAACCCTAAACCCTAAACCCTAAACCCTAAACCCTAATCTAAATGCACAACAGGTCGGTCCAGGGCCAGCGCTCAGGGTATCAAGGCAGAGTTTGCCATACAGTGCTCGGCTTGAGCTTGGGGCTTAGGTTTGGGGTTTGGGGTTTGGGGTTTGGGGTTTAGGGTTTAGGGTTTAAGGGTCAGGGTTTAGGGTTTAGGGTTTAGGGTTTAGGGTTTAGGGTTTAGGGTTCAGGATTCAGAGTCTAGGGTTTAGTGGTTTAGGGTTTGGGGTTTGGGCTTTAAGGAGCTTGGGGCACGGGGGCTGCTTACACCCCGGAGCCCAAATCCTTTACCCTCAAACCCCAAACTTTACTTGCAAACATCAACCCTCAACCCTTAAACTTGCATGCTCAGTCACCCAGGATGAAAAAGGGCACGTTTTAACCCCCAAAAAAGGGAATAAGGGCACTACTGGGCATAGTAACCCTAGACGCTAAACCACAAGTATACTAGACCCAGGAGCAACTAACCTAGGGACTAGGAGGGTGAATAACAGGGTACCCCCCTTTTTGGCTTTTAGGGGGGCTTGTACAGGGAGCCCAAACCCGAAGTAAGAGGGCAAGAGGGGCTACTCCGGGTCCTAGTCTAGGAACCCGCAGCTACAGGATCCTGTAGCCCTAGATGGCCCTAAACCTCAAACCCGACACCCGAACCCCTAAACCCTAACCTCTGAACCCTGAACCAAAAACCCCGAAACCCTAAACCCTAAACCCCAAACCCCAAACCCTAAAGCCTACCTAAATAACCCCCAAAAGACTCCTCCTAAGGTTCCGTAGAAGGGTCCCTCCCTTTGCCCCCTGGGAACCCACAGTGCCGTGTCCTGAGTCTCTTGGAGGCTCCGCGCCTTGTCCACAAACTCCTCTTTGTCTATACTCTAGAACCTTAATAAAAACAATATTTTGTCATATCCTCTTGGATGCTTTTATCTAAACAAAAATTTTAAAATAATTCCCAAGCGGGATATAGTTGTCCATGAGTAGTTCGACGCAGGGTTCAGGGTTCAGGGTTCAGGGTTTATTACCGTGACCTTATGGGCTCTTTGGGGGTTATTTAGGGGCTACTTAGGTATATAAGGACTCTGCAAGGCTTTTAATGGTTATATAGGGCAATAACAACATGTGGCGATAGGGTAAAGGGTGTAACGGAAACCAAAAGGGAGTGTAACGGAAACCAACCCGAAAACATAACAGAAATCAAACAAAAATGTAACGGAAACTACGCCCAAAAACCTGGAAACAATACGCAACGGAAACCCAAAGGAGATGTAACAGAAACCACAGAAAACTACACCCAAAACCCCAGACCCTAAACCCCTCAACCCCTCAACCCCTCAACCCCTCAACCCTAAACCCTAAACCCTAAACCCTCGATACCAATGAGGTCTGGGTACCCCAATCCTTTCTCCGCCTTTCCTTTCTCTGTTTGGGCAGTTGGTTTCTGTTACGTCCCGCAGTTGTTTCCGTAACGGTCCCAGGTTGGTTTCAGTTACACCCTCCTGTCGTTTCTGTTTCAGTTTCGGGCAGATAGTTTCCGCTACAACCCGCCAGTTTCCGCAACAGACTTTAATCTGTGGCGATAACCTGCGAGAAGCCGACTCCTTCATTTCGCTGGGCGGCGCGGCGTGCTCCCCCCATCTCCCCCCCATGATGTTAAGATGATGACGTCGCAGCTGAAGCCCTAAACGCTGACTCCAAGCCCTGTGCTTGGCTTGTCTTCTGGGTGACTTATCCTGACCATCCATGAGGCAGGCAGAGCGATGAGCATGCTATTCCCCCCTCCACCGCAACTCCCACCCTTTGCAAGTCCTTTGACTTACTACACGCGGCATCATACTGGGCCGATGGGCAAAAGTTTCTTGCGTCGATGCTCATGCGTACTTTGAGGCCTTGGTGTAGCGAGGGGCTGGGGGGCCCGAAGCCCGAACCTGAACCCTCAAAGTATGTGAAGAAAACAGCCCACACCCATAAAAGGGCTATTAGTCTACACACTTTGGGGGTTTAGGAAGCACTCTTTTCAGGGAACCCTAAACCCTAAACCCTAAACCCTAAACCCTAAACCCTAAACCCTAAACCCTAAACCCTAAACCCTAAACCCTAAACCCTAAACCCTAAACTAACCCTAAACCCTAAACCCTAAACCCTAAACCCTAAACCCTAAACCCTAAACCCTAAACCCTAAACCCTAAACCCTAAACCCTAAACCCTAAACCCTAAACCCTAAACCCTAAACCCTAAACCCTAACCCTAAACCCTAAACCCTGATTCAGGGCCCGCCACCTTGGCTAGCTTCGTTGGGGCAGGGATGGGAGAGGTGGGTTGGTCTTCAGCTGCGGGTTGTAAATGCAAGCTTTCTGTTGTCTTTGGAGAGGGTTTAGATTGACATGTCTTTTTCTCGTATTGCTGAAATTCATTGGCACTGGCGAGGGGGGGGGACTTGCTGCCTTCTTGCTTGCAAGAATAGTCCAAAGGTCTCCGATTTAATCTTCCGCAACCTAACAGCTTTCAGCAAAACAACCTTGAAGCCCCGGCATTTAGCGAAGCTAAGTGTGTCTTGCTTGTAAATGCTGGCTAACCATTGCTGCTTGCAGCCGAACCGAAGAACAGAACTGCATTGTGGGCGCGGACACTTCATGAACCCTGAACCTCCCTAAAGCCTAAACCCTAAACCCTAAACCCTAAAACCTAAACTCGGTACTCTGGTCCCTTCAGCCCCAATCGCTCTGCAGGCCCAAGCCCCAAAACCCGAAACCCAAAACCTGCAAAGTGCCTTGACTTGAGTCGGCTTCCGGCCTCAGCCCTTGAAGCCCTAAGCCAGGACAACGACCAGCCCCTTGAACTCTGAACCCTAAACCCCAAGCCGGGTGTGAGGTGCGGGCGGGGGGGGGGTTCTCGCGGAGCCCTAAACCCTAAACCCTAAACCCTAAAAGGTGGACACCCCTTGCAAAGTGAGAACAACCGCTGCTGTGCTGCTGCACTGCTCACGGAAAGGCAGGACGGCTCTCTCAACCCTTAAGCCCAAACCCCCCTTCAAACCCTGAACCCACAAGCGTCCTAAGGCTTAAGCCCTAAACCCTAAACCCCAAACCTTAAATCCTAAACCCTAAACCCTCATCAGCGGTGGCCAACCTTAAACTGAATCTCGCGTCCTCGGTGTGGCTCCAGAGCCGGCTTTCCACGTGGGGATAGCTGGAGACCTCGGGGCTTGGGGTTTGGGGTTTAGGGTTTAGGGTTTAGGGTTTAGGGCTTCAGGGTAGAGGGTTTAGGGGTGCACAGGGTTTGAAGGGTATAGGGTTTCGGGGTGTTTAGGGTTTAGGGTTTTCACAAGGGTTTAGGGGTATGGATTTAGGGTTTGGAGGTATGGAGTTGAGGGTTTAGGGCTATGGGGCTTAGTGGTTAGGGCACGGTTAGGGGTGATTGGGGGCTAGGGTTCAGGGGTCTATGGGTTTGTAGGGCTTAGGGTTGCTCAAGGGGACTAGGGATCCCAACCTTAAATAACTAGGGTTTAGGGTTTAGGGTTTAGGGTTTGGGGTTTGGGGTTTGGGGTTTAGGGTTTAGGGTTTAGAGTTTAGGGCACTACTAAGGGCATCCTGGTAGGTGCATGTGTGTTGAGACCTAGCTGGCACTCCGGGGACGCAGGGGCATGCTTGAGCCCCCTAACCCCCTAAACTCTACTTGGAGGTTCATGGTACTTAGTAACTAGTTAGAACTGTACTTATAACTGCCCTTATAACCATATTAGGGCACTTAAGGGGCTTTTAAGTGGGTTATAAGTACAGTTATAATTGGTTAATAAGTACCATGAACCTCCAACTAGATCGCGGGAGCCCTCAAATACCCCTCATATCCCTGGCCCATACATCAGAACCCTTTTGAGGAGGTTAGGGACCATATTCAGGGCCCATGAAACTACCCTCAGATCCCTAAACCATGCTAGCCCCTAAGCCCTGTGGACCCGATTTGCAAGCCCAACAGACCCTGAGAGTTTAGGATCTAGGGCAAAGAGGCAACCAAAAGTCCCCGGGCAAAAAGTTGCTCAACTCTACACCCTACACCCTACACCCTACACCCTACACCCTAAACCCTAAATCCTAAACCCTACACCCTAGTCAAAATGGCTCGGGGTCGATGCGACGCGAAGCTTTTGAACGCACAAGAAACCCTACGAGCCCTGAGCTCTAAAGACTTTCAACAGAACCTGGGCCCCGGTGAACAGTTTACCTCACAAGCCGAAGAACTTATGAAGCTTTATACCCTAAACCCTAAACTCTATATAAGCTCCAGACTATAGGGGCCTTACTAGTTAGAATAGGGGTTGGGGTATATTTATGAAGGGACCATGAGGGAATACTATGAGTAATAATTCTGACCCCAAACCCCCTAAACGCTAAATAACCCTAAACCCTAAACTGTTTGGGGTATGCTTATACAGGGACCATAAGTAATAAGTACTATGAGTAATGGTTCTGACCCCAAACCCCGAAATCCTAAACGCTAGACCCTATAAACCCCACAAGCCCCAAAAGAATCAGCGTCCCAAGAAACCCTAAACCCTAAACCCTAAACCCTAAACCCTAAACCCTAAACCCTAAACCCTAAACCCTAAACCCTAAACCCTAACGAGAACCCCACAGCCCGCGGGGGGGGCTCGAAGCTGGCCCTCCGCTGACAAGCCTCTTGGCGGAGCTGTTCCTGGGTTTTTACGGGGTTTAGGGGTTGAGGAATTTAAAGGTTTTAGGGTTGTAGGGTTTTAGGGTTTTTGGGTTGAGGGGTTTAGGGTTTAGGGTTTTAGGGTTTTAGGATTTTAGGGTTTTAGGGTTTTAGGGGTTTAGGGTTTCGGGGTTTCGGGGTTTCGGGGTTTAGGGGTTTAGGGGTTTAGGGGTTTAGGGTTTTAGGGTTTAGGGGTTTAGGGGTTTAGGGGTTTAGGGGTTGAGGGGTTGAGGGGTTTAGGGGTTTAGGGGTTTAGGGGTTCAGGGGCTTAGGGGTTTAGGGGTTTAGGGGTTTAGGGGTTTAGGGGTTTAGGGGTTTAGGGGTTTAGGGGTTTGGGGTGAGGGGTTTAGGGTGTTTCTGGGTTTAGGGGTTTAGGGTTTAGGGTTAGGGGTTTAGGGGGGGTTTAGGGGTTTAGGGGTTTAGGGGTTTTTAGGGGTTTAGGGGGGTTAGGGGTTTAGGGGTTTAGGGGTTTAGGGGTTTAGGGGTTTAGGGGTTTAGGGGTTTAGGGGTTTAGGGGTTTAGGGGTTTAGGGGTTTAGGGTTGAGGGGTTTAGGGTGTCTGGGTTTAGGGGTTTAGGGGTTTAGGGGTTTAGGGTTGAGGGGTTTAGGGTTTAGGGGTTTAGGGGTTTAGGGTTTAGGGTTGAGGGTGCAGGGCTTGAAGCATCGGGGTCCGGGTTCAGGGTGCAGGAAGTCGAGGGTTCTGTGCCATTGGTGTCTACGGAGGTTTTGAGCGCCAGGCTTTCGGGTTGAGAGCTATTCGTGGTGCGGAGAGTGTAAGATTCAAGGGCTTGGGGCCTGCAAAGTGCAGGGTTAACCCTCAACCCGAAATCCTGCCAATCACTAGGAACATGCTGGGTAAAACCACAATCAAGGGCCATTCCCGTCACGCCCTAGGCATCGGGTAACTTGACCTGAGGCCTCCCCAGGCTACAACACTTAGCCCTCAAGCCCTGGAGTGCCCCCAACCTTAGAAAACCTCGCATCCCGGACCCTAAACCCTAAACCCTAAACCCTAAACCCTAAACCCTAAACCCTAAACCCTAAACCCCTTAACCCCTTAACCCCTTAACCCCTAAACCCCTAAACCCCTAAACCCCAACCCTGAAAATCCCCACGGCCGATCGCGCAAGTGTGGGCCCAGCGGCGCGCTGCCGAAGCAGCGACTGGCTGCGGGCAGCGATGCGTTGCCTGGCAGCGTGATTCGTGGGGGCTTAGGGGCTTTTAGGGTGTTACTGCGGGGTGTTTGGGGTTTGGGTTTAGGGGTTTTAAGTGTCAGGGTCCGGGTTTATGGGCTGGGGGGTTTACTGTAAGGTTTTCGGGTTGTTTAAGGTTTCGGTTTGATGCCGGAAACATTAGGGTGTTCAGTGTCAGGGTTTAGGATTTAGGGCTTCGTAGGTTTCCGTTTAGGGGTAGTTTAGGGTGCCCTCAAAGGCTGGTGTTCTGCCAAGCCCAGCTACATCCCCAATCAAAGCAACAGGCGCGACAAGCCCACAAGTGCTGGTTTACGATCCAACTATCGACCCCAAATACTTGGATCCCTTCTTTTTTGCACCCCAACAAGGTAACCCAATTTTCGTAACACCCCCAAGTCGAGGCGTGCTTTGGACCCGAATCTTGGGATCCCCTTATACTAGCAGTCCTTAACAGGGATTGTTGAATAGGGGGTACTCTCGCCCCTATTAAGGGGAACATCCCTAAACCCTAAACCCTAAACCCTAAACCCTAAACCCTAAGCCCCTACGGGCATTTCCACAACAGGGCCTCTCTCCGGGCGACAGGCGACGGGACTCTGCCGGCGCCTCATCTGGCTGGTTGAGAGTACGGAATGAGGGAACTTGGGCCCTATAACCATCCCTTATCCCTTAAAGGGTGTAGAACAGGACTAGGGTTTAGGGTTTAGGGTTTAGGGTTTAGGGTTTGGGGTTTAGGGTTTAGGGTTTATTGGTTTATTGCTTTCTCCTTCCCTCATTCCATACTAAGAGAACCAAGGGGGTTGAAATCCCAGCCACGGCTCACGGTGTAAGGGGGCATGGCTCCGGATTCGGGTTTAGGGTTTAAAGGGTTTAGGGTTTAGGTTTAGGGTTTAAGGTTTAGGGTTTAGGGTTTAGGGTCTAGGGTTTAGGGTTTAGGGTTTAGGGTTTAGGGTTTAGGGTTTAGGGTTTAGGGTTTAGGGTTTAGGGTTTAGGGTGTGGGGACTAGGGTCCTAAACCCGAAGCCCGGAACCTACTTAAGCCGTAACAACCCTTCAACCCCCAAACCGTCAATCGCAAGATCTCTGCTTTATGCTTTTGTGAAGTCATGCAAGCCCTGGACAGTTCTTCTCACGATTGCTGCAAGAGGTGGAAGGCTCCTTGCTACTTTCAGGGAGCAGGGTGTTGAGGGCTTTCGTGGCTTCAGCACGAAACTTAGCCCCCAAACCCTAGACCTAACATACCTCAACCCTACCACCTTCCCCTCAAACCCAAAAAAAGGCACCTAAACAAACATACTAACGCAGAGTAGCGGAACTGCGAGGCCTTCTCGGCGTGAAACAATCCTAGGAGAGCGCAAAGCGCAAAATGGCGTTGCACACATGGCTGGAATTGGACAGTCGCTTTGCCCCTTGGTGCCCTACTTATAGGGGCCTGAAGAATCAGAATAGGGTTTTGGGGCTTCTTATAGTATATTTATTGCGGGGACGCCAAGGGACACCATTAGTGTTTTTCCGACCCCTATATTGTAGCTGCACTGTCTGAAGAGAGCTGTACAGTTGAACCCCAAACCCTCAACCCTAAACCCAAAAGCCCTAAGCCCTAAGCCCTCAGCCCGCAGCCCTGAACCCTAAACCCTATACCCGAAACCCTAAACTCTAAACCCTAAACCCAAAGAAGCCCTAAGCCCTAAGCCCTAAGCCCTAAGCCCTAAACCCTAACTCCTAAACCCTAAACCCTAAGTCCTAAATCCGAAATCCTAAACCCAACACAAGGGGAGGGGCCCGCACCGCCGCAAGTCGCTCTGCAGCCTTCTCAGCGGCCTTGCGCTGGCGGAAGGCGTCCAGCTCCTGTAGGGTTTAGGGTTTAGGGTTCAGGGTTTAGGGTTTAGGGTTTAGGGTTTAGGGTTCAGGGTTTAGGGTTTAGGGTTTAGGGTTAAGGGTTTAGGGTCTAGGGTCTAGGGTCCACGGTCAAGGGTTTAGGGTATAGGGTATAGGGTCTAGAGTTTAGGGTTTACTGGGGCCTACAGGGAAACCCAAAGCGCCTACTCTGGGTCCAAACCTTAGTTGTCCAGCAGTCTAGAAAACTAAAGGTTAACCTTGGGGATTATATGGGGTTTAGGGTTTAGGGTTTCGGGTTTCGGGTTTAAGGTTACCTCGAAAAGGTTAAATCGCCTAGAAAACTAAAGGTCAACCTTGGGGACTATGTAGGGATTATGATACCCCAAAATGGTCAAAGGTTATCTACTCCCTCAAGCCCCAAACCGTGAGTCACGAACCCAGTAAGCCCTGAACACGCACTCCAGAACCTGAAAAGCGCTGTCCCCGTAGAAGTACCTACTACAACAGGGCTCCTTTGGAAACAGGTACCCCCCTGCACCCTCAACCCTCAACCCTCAACCCGCAACCCCTCAACCCTCAACCCGCAACCCTAAACCCTAAACCCTAAACCCTAAACCCTCAACCCTCAACCCTCAACCCTCAACCCTATACCCTAAACCCTAAACCCTAAACCCTAAACCCCAAACCCTAAACCCTAAACCCTAACCCTAACCTCTAACCCTAAACCCTCCCCTCCCCCCGCCCCCCCCCCCCAAGGGCTCCTCCTTCTGAGCTGTTCTCTGTAACTGCTGCGCCTTCGAAGCTTCGACCTCCCACCATGCAACCCATTGTAGGTGAGGGTTAGGGTTTAGGGGTCAGGGTTTAGGGTTTGGGGTTTGGGTTAGGGTTAGGGTTTAGGGTTAGGGCTTAAGGCTTAGGGGCTTAGGGCTTTAGGGTTAGGGTTTAGGGGTTTAGGGTTTAGGGGTTTAGGGTTTAGGGTTTAGGTTTAGGGTTAGGGGTAGGGTTTAGGGTTTAGGGTTTAGGGTAGGGTTAGGGTGTAGGGTGTTAGGGTGTTAGGGTTTAGGGTTAGGGTTTAGGGTTAGGGTTTAGGGTTGGGTTTAGGGGTTTTAGGGTTTAGGGTTTAGGGTTAGGGGGTTTAGGGTTTAGGGTTTAGGGTTAGGGTTTAGGGTTTAGGGTTAGGGTTTAGGGTTTAGGGTTAGGGTTTAGGGTTTAGGGTTTAGGTTTAGGGTTTTTAGGGTTTAGGGTTAGGGTTTAGGGGGTTTGAAGGTCATTATAGGTGGGGGGGGGGGGGGGGGGATGAGGGTGAGGTGGGGCGGGGGGCGGCGGGGGGGGAGGGAAGTTGTTGAGAGGGTTTTGGTTTTTTGTTGAGAGTTGAGGGGCCATGGTTTCGGCTGTAGACAAGGTGACGAGGGGGTTTAAGGGTTTGAAACGAGTGGGCCGGCTAGAAGTATATGTGCCTTGAGGACTTCTTTAGGTGTTTCAACATAGGGCTTAAGGGTTTAGGTTTGAGATGGCTTTAGGGTTTAGGGCTTAGGGTTTAGGGCTTAGGGGTTGCGGAAGCACGGGACAAGACAAACGGTACTGTAGAGCACAACAGCTTCGTGAAACTCTCGCCTCTAGGCTCTGAAGCCCCCACGTTCGTGTAGCAGTCTTTGCAATCCAGCTGTCTTCTGCGATCAAACTACGTAGAGATTCAAAGCGATTTCCGATGAAAAATGCAATGTGCAAAGTCCTTCTGGACTTGGAACAAGGGACCCGAAGGGTAGAGCTTCTTGGGATGTGTGGATTGTTGACTCTCAAAGTTGAACTAGGCTAGATTCTTTGATAGGCCCCTTGCATCGAAGCGCAGTGACCGTGAAACGTTTGTCAAAGACCACTCCGATTTCTTGAAGGTTTGGGGTTCGAACCTCGCTACGACAGAGTCGTCAGCTGCCTGTTCTTCTCTGACCTCCGACTCTCCGACCAAACTAGAGCAGCATCTGGCGTGCCAGATTCTAAGCTAGACCGTGGAATCCCGGCTCACATTGGAGCATTGTCTTGTCTGCCACGTCCGTTAAGGGCGAAGGGTTTTTGAGATTGCAAGGAGGTAAACATGCAAGACGAGAGCTCTCCTTGTCTGCTCATCAGTTGCCGCAGGAGCCCTTCACCCTTAATCAGTGGAGTGGAACCTCTGGACATGAACCAAGGATGAACCAAGGGCCCGAAAGGACTTGATGTGCGGATTGCTGAAATCTCCCGGCCTAAACATCAATGATTCACTAATCCCCAAACTTGCACTAGATTCTTTGATAGGCCCCTTGCATCGAAGCGCAGTGACCGTGAAACGTTTGTCAAAGACCACTCCGATTTCTTGAAGGTTTGGGGTTCGAACCTCGCTACGACAGAGTCGTCAGCTGCCTGTTCTTCTCTGACCTCCGACTCTCCGACCAAACTAGAGCAGCATCTGGCGTGCCAGATTCTAAGCTAGACCGTGGAATCCCGGCTCACATTGGAGCATTGTCTTGTCTGCCACGTCCGTTAAGGGCGAAGGGTTTGAAATTGCAAGGAGGTAAACATGCAAGACGAGAGCTCTCTTTGTTTGCTCATCAGTTGCCGCAGGAGCCCTTCACCCTTAATCAGTGGAGTGGAACCTCTGGACATGAACCAAGGATGAACCAAGGGCCCGAAAGGTAGGACTTGATGTGCGGATTGCTGAAATCTCCCGGCCTAAACATCAATGATTCACTAATCCCCAAACTTGCACTAGATTCTTTGATAGGCCCCTTGCAGCGAAGCGCAGTGACCGTGAAACCTTTGTCAAAGACCACTCCGATTTCTTGAAGGTTTGGGGTTCCAACCTCGCTACGACAGAGTCGTCAGCTGCCTGTTCTTCTCTGACCTCCGACTCTCCGACCAAACTAGAGCAGCATCTGGCGTGCCAGAGCTGGCAGATTCTAAGCTAGACCGTGGAATCCCGGCTCACATTGGAGCATTGTCTTGTCTGCCACGTTCGTTAAGGGCGAAGGGGCCTCAAAGGGCTTTTGAGATTGCAAGGAGGTAAACATGCAAGACCAGAGCTCTCTTTATTTGCTCATCACCTTAATCAGTGGAGTGGAACCTCTGGACATGAACCAAGGGCCCCGAAAGGTAGGACTTGGCGCTGAGACGCGCAGCTTGTGGCGGTTTTGGAACCTCGATACCGTTTGAGTGTATCGGGGTTCGGTCAAAGTAGTGCTGCGCGCAGACATATGCAAACTGTCTCGACAAAGAAAGAAATATGGTCCATGTAAACCAGCTCTCATCCCGACTGTTCAACGTTCTCTTCCTGACGTCTGCATGAGCCTCTGACGATTCTGCTGCTTGAGATCATCGCAACCTAACACGACATAACGATAGCCGACTCGCACGAAGAATCCGAAGTGCAGCCGTCAGGGCTGACCTCAATGGACCCTGAGCCCTAAGCCCTACTGCTACAAACATCGTAGAAACATCTATCTTCTCACAAACCGCCAACTGGGACGGACAGGTCCACCGGGTCCATCTATGTGCTAAACGCAAATTTCAACAAGCAAACATGGGAGCTTCGCAGTGAAACCTCGGCCCGCAGGCTAAGAGGAATGCCTCACGTCTCATCCCTCGTCCGACTCATCCTCTGACACATCCACATCCTCGCCTTGAACCATGAAGGCTCGGTTCGCGAGAGCCGCTGCTTCTACACTCCATTGCGTCGACTGCCAGGCTCCGTAGACGAAGGCGGAGACTGCCGCGCCAGCTGTGCACGTGACATGTGCTGCCATGCCCAAGGGGCTTGACATGTCGTGGGCTAAGATGGCGCCTAAACCGGTCAGGACTACGGGTGGCCACATCGGACCACAAGGGATCTCAGACATCTGGTGCTTGCTGTTCATCATCTGGAGCAAGATGCGGTCCACACGAAAGAGCTCCACCATCTCCTTCGTCGCGTCCACGAGCTCGGCTTCACTGCTGCATTGCACGAACGGGCCCTCTTGCCTTGCCATGCTGAGCCTAAACCCTAGACCCTAGACCCTAAACCCTAAACCCTAAACCCAAAACCCTAAACCCTAAACCCTCAACCGAATGGCCCTCTTGCCTTGCCATGATGAGCAACACCAGTCGGCGAAGCTGGGCTCGGGGATCTCCGGGGTCGTACTCCCCAGCTGGAAGCAAGAAATTGTGCAGAAGCCGAACCTCTACGGGTTTAGGGTTTAGAGTTTAAGGTTTAGGGTTTAGGGTTAGGGTTAGGGTTAAGGGTTAAGGGTTAAGGGTTAAGGGTTAAGGGTTAAGGGTTAAGGGTTAAGGGTTAAGGGTTAAGGGTTAAGGGTTAAGGGTTAAGGGTTAAGGGTTAAGGGTTAAGGGTTAAGGGTTAAGGGTTAAGGGTTAAGGGTAAGGGTTAAGGGTTAAGGGTAAGGGTTTAAGGGTTAGGGTTAAGGGTTAAGGGTTAAGGGTTAAGGGTTAGGGGGGGGGGTTAAGGGTTAAGGGTTATCCGCCGACCCTGGCGGTGTTTTGGATGGGTTTGAGGAGGCGAAAAAACTCCCTCTTTCCCCCCTTACCCCCCCAAACGGGGGGGGGGGGGGGGGGCGGTGCAACTTTTTTGCGTAGAGGCCACACAGCGTAAACAGGCGGTTCAGCACAGGGTAGGGGCGCCTTCAGCAACCCCCTCACCCCCACCCACCCCCCACCCCCCCCCCCCAACCCCCCCCCCACCCCCCCCCCCCCCCCCACCCCCCCCACCCCCACCCACCCTTTTTGGCTTGAGCTTGTCCTGGTGCTACCCCCTACCCCCCCCAAACGTTTCACAGAACTCTGCCGAGCAGGCTGGGATGATCTTCGAACCATGCGAGCGGGTTTAGACCTCTCAACTATGCTCCAGCGGGGTCGGCGGCTTGAGCCGGAGGCTCTTAAATTTAGGGTTTAGGGTTTAGGGTTTAGGGTTTAGGGTTTAGGGTTTAGGGTTTAGGGTTTAGGGTTTAGGGTTTAGGGTTTAGGGTTTAGGGTTTAGGGTTTAGGGTTTAGGGTTTAGGGTTTAGGGTTTAGGGTTTAGGGTTTAGGGTTTAGGGTTTAGGGTTTAGGGTTTAGGGTTTAGGGTTTAGGGTTTAGGGTTTAGGGTTTAGGGTTGAGGGTTGAGGGTTGAGGGTCTAGGGTTTAGGGTTTAGGGATTAGGGTTTAGGGTTTAGGGCGTCTCGCCGCGCAGCGGCAGTAAGCACCATGTGTAAATGGCGCCCCTACACACCCAGAGGGGGTGTGGGGGGGCGGCATGTCACGAAGCACTGCCTTTTAAGGGTTTAGGGCTGGCGGGGGGGGAGGGGGGGGGGGGCTGAGGGGGGGGGGGGGGGGTGAGGGGGGGGGTCGGCGGGGGTGGGGGGGCGGGGCGGGTGGGGGGGGCAGGAGGAGGGTGGGAGGTTAAAAGGGGGGTGTAAGATGCTGGACCGAGGGCGGTGGTGAGGGCAGGTCAAGCGGCTTTCAGACCCCAGATTTCAGGATTCGGGGTCATCGGGTTCTGGGTGTTCCCATCAAGGGAGTACCGGAGGAACTCCTGTGTCCTTGTGGCGAGGGGAGCCCTAGGGGCTCTTTATTCGACCATTCTCCAATGGCTCCACCCATTGTCCATCCAGTAAAGGTGTCCATCACTGCCGGGTATCTTCTGGGTCCAGGCACCCTTGTAAAGGGTGGGTACGGCCTAAGCAGGCCGGGTGGGAATTTAGGGTTTAGGGTTTAGGGTTTAGGGATTAGGGATTAGGGTTTAGGGTTTAGGGTTTAGGGTTTAGGGTTTAGGGTTTAGGGTTTAGGGTTTAGAGTTTAGGGTTTAGGGTGTAGGCAACACAAATAAGAGGATTTTTTCCTCTATGAAATATAAACGAAATGCGACACTTCTCCCAAGGATGCTGTAGGAACGTGATGCTCGAAGGACTTCCGATCCGGGCGGCAGGTCTGTGTAAGCAACGTCGACAGAAGCGACGAGACCAGAGACAAAAAGAGCTCTTCCTGGTTCATGGTTGGGGGTCGCATTAAAAACGTAACTTTGTATTCCTTATTGGGTTTAAGCACCCTCAAAAATGTAAAATGATAACCAACTATGACCGAGCTTCCTGGTGGAAGTGAGTGAATGCGCCGGCTAAGTCTGGGAAATACAGTCGTGCCGCGGCCCAAATCTTCTCCGCATCGCACTGGATTGCTTCCTGCGTGTCCGCACCCTCGAAGTAGTCTTGCAAATGATACTTTCTGTACGTGGTTGTCAACGCTTGAAAGGTCACTCGCTCATTCCCGGTCACGGACATGATGTGCGCGGCCAGCAGCGCGAGGTCAGGATGATACCCGACCTCGGGCTTCCAACAGGCAAAAGCCCGCAAAATGGAAGCGATCTTGATCCGGCCGAAAGAAGGCACCGAGGTGGGGAGTTCGAGCACTTCCACAGCTGGCCTGCCTCTTTTCTTCGTCAGCATAGGGACGAGGTCAAGGGCACACTCGATCTCGGCAATCACATCGGCGTCCAAGCTCTCCACGGAGTGCATGAGGAAGTGGGAGTATTTCAGGTCCGTGGGCACGCTAAACTCCTGCAACCACCGCGCGCTGTGGTCCTGGCAGGCAGGTGCTCTGAGCCATCCTGGGTTGACCTGCTGGCCGCGGGTCTGCATCGAGAATCGTGCTGGGGCACGTCGCCACGCCCTCAACGAACGACAAGAACACAGCAATAGAGCCCAAAACTCGTCGGGCTTCGTTCAGTGACAAAAAAAAACCTGTCCAAGAATGTATCTATGACTCCATATACATACGTATGTGTATATATATATATTACATATATATATATATATATGTATATGTATATGTACAAGTATGTACTACCCCCGCTCCCGCCACCAGGATGTTCGTTTGTCAGATGTGCAAGTGGCAGGAGCGAGTCTTTCGACAGCAGCGAGTAGAGTTGCTTTGGAACGGGACGATATGAGCTGCCCCGACGGCATGTCCTTTTGGCGCACCCATAGCAACATGCAACAACTGGTAAACACTAAGCCCTAAGCCCTAAACTCTAAGCCCTAAACTCTAAGCCCTAAACCCTAACCCTTAACCCCTAAACGCGCCTTGCTGCGCTGCTCCGCAGCCAAGCGCTCGGCTGCGGCGGTGCGCTTGGCCTCCCGCTCTCGTCGCCAGGCCTGCGGCCATGGAGCGTACTTGGAGATTTCATGGGTAGTTATCAGTTGGGTTGAGGGTTTAGGGTTCAGGGTTTAATTAGGGTTTAGGGTTCAGGGATTAGGGTTCAGCTAGAAGTATGGTAACGAAACGTATAACGCTGTCTACGGCACTGACTTAGAAACTCAGAATTGCCCATGAAACTCCGTTTCGGGTTCCGTGCCTGGGGTTTAGGGTTCTGAATAGGGCTTCGGGTTTCTTAGTGCTTGGGGTTCAGGGGTGTTCCTTCCCTAGGCCATCCGATAACTTGCAAAATTGAGGTTTTTAGGGCTTAAGGGCCTAAGCCATGAGCGATCACACACGAACATCTTTTAGACTGCTGTGTAGGGGTTGATGCTGGGGATTGCAAGGCTCATCAGATATAAATACCTGATGTGATAGAACTCCTTACAAACTGGACACCAAAACGGACTCTATTGTAAAACAACCCTCCCATCTGGCACGTCAACAGCTGGCATCTTCTTAGGAATTCAAGGAATGAGGCTTCAGGGTTTAGAATAAAGAAGTCTGCCACCCTTTGATTCCTCAACTAAGGGACATTAGGCTCTCTGGATGTTTTCGATGAGGCGGTGGGTGCCTGGATGTTTTTGAAAAACTAATTCCAGTTTACCTTTTAAGTTATGTCATTTATTTATCTATTTACTTCTGTTTCTTTAGTTTTTTGTGCTTAAAGGGTATATGTAGGGCCCTCATTCCCTGAATCCTAGTACAGCTTCAGAGCGCCCACAGGGTTGAGTACTTCCGCCCATTCCGGCCTCCACTTGCCTCTTGCGCTCCTGAAGGCCAACCCTAAACCCTGAACCCTAAACCCTAAACCCTAAACCCAGGCTGTGACACCGGATTCGGGTTTGGGAGCTGGGGTTTAGGGTTTGGGTTCAGGCAGAGGGTTTGGAAACCCCAATCTGCACTCTGTTCTTCGGTTCTAGCGGGGAGCCTTTGGGTCAGCCTTGGTCAGAATTCCTTGCTGTGAGCTCCCCTAAACCACGAAAGCGAAACTCCAAAAGCTCAAACCCTTACCTAACCCCAAGGCCGAACCTTAAACTAACCTTGAGCGCTAAGACCCTAAACCCTAAACCCTAAACCCAAAACCCTTGTACGAGATCGCTGCAGGCGTGTCAACCATTAACACTGGGTTTAGGGTTCAGGGTTTAGAATTTAGTTTAGGGACTACTTGGAGGTTCATGGGCAGTTATGAGTAGGGCTACAATTACGGTAACCATACTTATAAACCGATCTAGGGCTCTTGTAACCCTACTTTTTTAACTACCCATGAACTTGCAAGTATAAGTAGGGTTTAGGCCCCTGGTTCTTATTAGCGAATGAGGGAATGAGGGCCCTACATATACCCTTTAAGGGATTGCATTCCCTCATTCCCTACTAAGAGCGCTTCGTCACGCTCATCACACAAGCTCCCTCCTAAACCCGAAACTCAAGGGGGAGCGGGGGGGGGGGGGGGGGGGGGGGGGGGGGGCTGAAGCCCCTCGACCTCGATGGCACAAGCCGACCCAAGTCGTTCGCCCGCCTCCCACAGCTCGGAGGTCGGCAGCACCCACGATGGGCAGGGACCTCCTGTGCTTGGGACCCTCTTACAATCCCCTTGATGCGAGACCCCTAGAACAGAAGAAAAGGTTTGGGCGGTTTTGCCGCCAGAGACGGCGTGGGGTGGGATAAACATGTTAGGTGGCCCTCCACTATCTGGCCATGGCTGCTCTTCGCATTTCACGAAGCTCTCGAAGCGGGTCTGCATCCCAACCTGCACAGCTTCTGCGCCCTTTCGCAGCAAACCCTAAACCCTAAACCCTAAACCCTAAACCCTAGACAACCCTAAACCCCAAAAACCCTGAACCCTAAACCCCAAACCCTAAACCCTAAACCCTCCATACCAGCATGGCAGCTGAAGCCTCCACCCCTTACGGTTTAGGGTTTCGGGTTTAGGGTTTAGGATTTAGGGTTTAGGGTTTAGGGGCCTGAATTGGGGTCTTGGGAGCTATTTGTAGTATAATTACAAAGGGACCATAAGGGAATACATCATACAAACCCTAGAGACCCTATAAACACTGGACGCGACATGGACCCCACAACCTCTCTAAACCCACAACCCAAAAAGCACCGGCCTGGTCCAAACGTGGGGCGTCTGTGCCCCCCGATGGAATACAACGTCGATGCTTCAATCGGCTCTAGTGTTGAGACCCTCAAGTCTAAGCTGGAAACCAGAAACCCTAAACCCTAAACCCTAACCCGAAACCCTAAACCCTAGACCACAAACCCCAAACCCCAAACCCCAAACCCTAAACCCCAAACCCCAAACCCTAAACCCTAAACCCGCACCACAAGCTTGCAGAGCGTGCCTCGCACTCTTGCTTCGCCTGCCGCCGCTTTGCGGATCTGGCTTGGCGCTCCTGGTTCGGGTTTAGGGTTTAGGGTGTAGGGTTTAGGATTTAGGGTTTAGGGGTTAGAGTTTAGGGTTTAGGGTTTGGGGTTTAGGGTTTGGCGTTTGGGGTTTGGGGTTTAGGGTTTAGGGTTTGGGGTTTAGGGTTTGGGGTTTAGGGTTTAGGGTTTGGGGTTTGGGGTTTGGGATTTGGGGTTGGGGTTTAGGGTTTGGGGTTTAGGGTTTGGGGTTTAGGGTTTGGGGTTTAGGGTTTAGGGTTCAGGGTTCGGGTTTGGGCTTCAATTTCCAAACGGGTGACCTTTTTTGGTTGAATAAAGTTTATAGGGGAACGTAACCCCCTGTATAAGGGAAAAAGAGTATCAAAGGGCATCCTGGTAGAAGGTATCTACCCCCCTGATGCCCGACTGAGAGTTGGATCTTTGGTTTCAAAAGGATCCCGGCGGGCGTGGGGTAGTACGATCTATCTATCTATCGATCTGCCTTTAGCTGTGCTCGCCCGGCCCCCTACCCCAGCCCTAAACCCTAAACCCTAAACCCTGAACCCTGAACCCTAAACCCTATAAGCCCTAAACCCTAAACCCTAAACCCTAAACCCTAAACCCAAGATCCACGCTTGGATGTGCGAATCCACAGCTTTGTCTTCCACCCTGCGGCTTCCCAAGTTTCCACCCTCGGACTTTGCAGATGTCATGATCTCCTCCTTCGAACTTTCCGGATTTCCATGTTTAGGGTCTAGGGTTTAGGGTTTAGGGTTTAGGGTTTAGGGTGTAGGGTTTAGGGTTTAGGGTTTAGGGTTTAGGGTTTAGGGTTTAGGGTTTAGGGTTTAGGGTTTAGGGTTTAGGGTTTAGGGTTTAGGGTTTAGGGTTTAGGGTTTAGGGTTTAGGGTCCCTAAACCCTAAACCCCAAACCCTAAACCCTAAACCCTAACCCTAAAGCCTCTAAGCTTTTGGACTTCCGCTCTGGAAAGTTAGGGGTGGGGCTCTGGAAAGTGCCGAGAAAACTGGAATTTGGAAGATCCGGAAAGTTAGAGGGTGGAAATCAGGTTACCTTGAACCTAAAACCCAGAAGGTTAGAGGGTGGAAATCAGGAAGCCTGGAAATCTGGAATCTGACCCCTGGACATCTGGAAGGCTGACAAGTGAGCGGGTGGAAGCGCATTGAGCTGGCTAGCCAGACACTAAGGTGCTGTAGTCAACGTGGGATTGAAAGGAGTTCCTGGATTTAGAACCTGAAGTGTAATCAGGTACATGTGAAACAATCATTGAAATATGCATATACTACTTATATGGTCGGTACTCTGGCAAAAGAAAGAAGGACAACTACCGACTAAATAAGCTTCGGTGTCCAGACAAATATGTTAGTTTATTAGGACTTTCCAGTTGCGGGAACTGATTTAGAAATATAGTTCATGACATAGGAGGCATGTGCTTCAAACTAGAGGCCATTTGCGAGTCACAGAACTACCCCAACTATCATGCATAACCAACACATCATTAAGTTGAATGACCATTTGGCTCTTCTTCAGTTTGAGTACCGGTTTATGAATGGTATTCACACGTTTGACCGTGTTTGCATCGGTATGTTCATTAAGCAAGTAAGAATGCATATATTGAGAGTCTCATTTATCGAACTCTCTCAAAGAATTACTTCCATGAAGTGGAAGAACATTTTGAGTCACCTTTTAATTATAGTTATCGTGAGTTTAGTTCGAATAGTTGGCCCCAGTTATGTCTGCAAGATTTGTTAACCTGACGGTGATGTTAAGCTATTCACAGCTGAGCTGGGGTTTAAGCACATGTCCGTCATGAAACTTCACTGAACCCATGATTCGTGCCTACCAAAACGGTTTTCCATGAGACGGATTTCGTTTAAGCCGGCATAGTCCCCACCAACAGAAAGTGAGCAGCCCCATTCATGGCAAGGGATCTCTGCATAATATAAACCTTTGCAATAAAGAGCGGAGAGCATTTACAGACATATGTATATATATATATATTTATATTTATATATTTATTTGTTTATTGATTTTTATTTATCTATTTATTTATGTTTATCTATTGAGATGTCTTCAACTATTTTGTTTTGAGGTCCGCAGCACCACCTCGCAATCCAGAAAAGATGTCGATGCTTACATCCGGTCTCTCGTCCGATTATTGCCGTGTATGCAGAACAACCACGAAGGTTTGGCCGTATACCGCTATCAGGATGACATGACTGGGATAGAGACATGCTTGCGAATGCCGGAGTGGCGAGAGATCAAAGATCTCCGTGCCAGTGCCAGTACTCGTGCATCCTGAAAGGATGTTGGTATCAGAGTCCAGATGTGCAGCAAGTGGTCTGCAAGAAAGGACGTGCGTTAGGCAAGTAATCATGTATACCACTCTTTAGAATGACCAGAACTGGGGCTTCGATCGTGTAAGTCGTGAAAAGACCACTGCGGCCAGGCTTCGTACGTACGAAAACAGCTTGCTTTGGAATGGATTCCGTTTTAAGGAAATGTCGGTGTAAGTGACATGGATGTGTAGAAACATGCTGCAGGAAATATGCTATTGCTGCAGCAAAGTATCGGAATTTGCTGTGTTCTCGATGTGTTGTAGAAGCCAGACAAGGAGAAGAGGGATGGTGCAATAGAGAGACGAAGGCAGTTGTGGATGTTGGGGGAAGGTGGAAGGGAGGGGTTTCTGCCTCCATGTTGCGGTAGCTTGTCATATCATGTTCCTCAACCCTAAACCCTAAACCCTAAACCCCAATGAAACTGAGACCTTCAACCTCACAACCGAACCCCCCTCAGCCCGCCCGTGCACCGCCTGCATCGCATCTTGGACGGGCTGTACCTGCACCTTCTCCGCCTCACGGAAGGGTGTCGCTGTTTGCCCACAGGATGGGGGGGAGCAGGCCGAATCATCAGCACTGTATACGAGATACTGCCGGACATGTTTGGGATGTTGGAAGGTGATGAATGGAGTCGGGGTGAAAGGGGGGGGGAAGGTACAAGGTTCATGGGTAGTTGATGATAAGCATGGTCACTGTACTTATAATGAATTGTACGGGTATTTGCATGGTCACTATACTTATAACCTTGCTTAAGGCACTTAGAACCCTACTGATACGTACCCGTGAACCTCCAAGTGGAGATGCCAAGGCAAAGAGTACGTGTAGGGACTGACTTTGCGCAGAGGTTGGCTTCAGAGCACATGGGGCCACGGATGGGAGATTAAGGGCGAGGCTCGCTTGGGGAGGGTTTAGGAAGACGGTTTCGGGTCTTGGGTTTAGGGCTTTGGGGACAGACCACAAACACCCCCTTGACCAACATGCCATGACCTTGTACAATGCCAAGGCAGCTCCCAAACTCTTTGGCTCCTCAAGCCTCAACCCTAAATCCTAAACCTAAACCCTAAACCCTAAACCCTAAACTCGGCATCCCTGAACCCCCAAACCCCCCCAAAGCCCCTAAACACAACACCCTAACACCTGAAGCCCCAAACACAAAACCACGTGGAGGGGTCCCTTGATGGTCCCCTATAAAGATAGTGCAGCACCCGCATAAACGGGACCAAGCTGACATGAACCTTGGGATAGCTAAGGGGTTGGGGAGCCAACCTGGTTGCAATGGGTTGGTTTAGGGTTTAGGGTTTAGGGTTTAGGGTTTAGGGTTTAGGGTTTAGGGTTTAGGGTTTAGGGTTTAGGGTTTAGGGTTTAGGGTTTAGGGTTTAGGGTTTAGGGCTTAGGGCTTAGGGCTTAGGGTGTAGGGTGTAGGGTGTAGGGTGTAGGGTCTACCCGATATAGGGAAACATCCGGCACAACCGTCGGCCTGCTCCTTCTGGTCGCGCCACGCAGCCAGGAGCTGCCGACGCTCCGAGTGGAGTGCCTCCTGACATCCACAGGCTTAAGTACATAGGGTTTAGGGTTTGGGGTTTAGGGTTTCGGGTTTAGGGTTCAGGGCCAACTTGGAGGTTCATGGGTGGCTATAAGTCGCGCTATAAGTAGGGTAACTATATCTACAACCCTATTTAGGGTACTCTTAACCCTACTAGAACTACCATGAACTTCCAAGTATGGGGTTAAGGGATTCAGGGGGGTAGGGGTTCGGATTTAGGGGAAGTGGGGTGATCGCTTTAGGTTGGGGTGCCAAATTGCCCAAGGCTTGTGGGCTCAGGCTTGTGGGCTTGGTGCTTGAGGCTCCGTGACCGCGGCTCGAAAATATAGGGTTTTGTATCGGGTTCAGGGTTTAGGACCCTACACCCCCTAGAACTGCCAACGCTTCAGCCCCTTTGAACCTAAAACCATGCACACTCTCAACAGTCAAAACCCTTAACCCTAAACCCCATACCCTAAACCCTAAACTGGCGAGAGCACCGCTGCCCGTGGGTGCTCGAGCTCTGTGGCGAGCCTACGGGCCTGGGAGGGTCACGCCTCTCAGCACAACCCCTGCGGACCGCGTTTTCTGAGGTCCGGCTGCCCTGGACCCTCCCCCCCCAGGGCGACCGGATTCCTGAATCGGTTTCTGTCGAAAACCTCCTAACCTTCGGTCCTCAGGCCATTCTGAAGCAGGGGCCGGTCGAGAGCCATGGAGGGTGACTCCAACTTTCTATCTTTGCTTTCAAGAAAGGCCCCCCCCCCCCCCCCCCCCCCCGCCTAGAAAGGTTGGGGGGCAGAGCCCTGAATCTTGAAAAGAGAATAGTTCGGGTGGGGGGTCGGGGCCACTAAACTATGCAAGCGCGCGATAGGGAGCGACCCTAAATCGAAAGAGACGGCGCGCTCCCCGCGCTCGTACACTGATACGCACCTTATTAAACCCTAAACCCTAAACCCTAAACCCCGAAGCGGCCTGCTCGTAGATCCACTTGCCATGGGCCACCAGGGCCTCGTGGCTCTTTCCAGGAAGAAGGAGCTGCGCCTTCAAGCACATGAGGGCCCGGAGAGCCACCCCCTCAGGGTTTAGGGTTTAGGGTTTAGGGTTTAGGGTTTAGGGTTTAGGGTTTAGGGCTTAGGGCTTAGGGTTTAGGGTTTAGGGTTTAGGGTTTAGGGTTTAGGTTTGGGAAAATTACATATTATACTGACTGGCGTTAGACCTACACCTAGTCAGCCAGATCCTACTGAACAAAATAGAATGTGGAATATCTTTACTAACATGTAACGAAAAAATAGGTACTAAATTAACTGAACATTTGCAATTGATCCTGCTTGCGGGTGTGGGGTTTAGGGTTTAAGGTTTAGAGTTCAGAGGGCTCAGGGTTCATAGGATTTAGGGCGCAGCATGTTGGGAACGAGGGTTTCGAAGATTGGGCTTAGCAAGGTCCTGATGTCACTGAGATCCCCTATGTCGGGCGCATGAACGCAGTAGCGCTTTGGAGTTGATGGCTTAGGGCGCAGGATTTCGGGTTCAGACTTAGGGTTTAGGGTTTCTGGTCCGTGAAATACTAGACCCAAAAGGCAACCTAGGAATAAACAGGGTACCCGTGTTGGTTCAAAGGGGCTTATCAGGGAACCCAACCCAAAAAGAAAGGGAATAGGGACCTACGCTGGGTCCCAGAATATGGAGGAGGTTCATGATCCAAGCCGCAGACCCTGAAGCCCTAAGGGAATAGAAGCGCATAAGGAGAATAGTAAGGGCAACCTTTAGTGGTACAACCTTAGGGGTACCCTAAACCCTAAACCCGAAACCCTAAACCCTAAACCTTAAACCCAATCATCCCTTGAATGACCCAAGTTAAGCCGCAGACCCTGAAGCCCTAACACTGCAGCTTTTGGTGTCTGGATCTGCCTCGCGAGGCCTAAACCCTAAACCCTAAACCCTAAGCCCTGAGCCCCAAACCCTAATCCCTAAACCCTAAACCCGAAACCCTAAACCCTAAACCCCAAACCCTAAACCCCAAACCCTACGCCGCTCTTTTCTCCTTCCTCGGCTGGTCCGCGCTACTTCTTCGACTTCTCCACGGCGCCGCGCCCGGGGCGGAAGAGCATCGCCACGCCCTCGGAGGCCGAGACCTCCCAGGACTCCTGGGCCGCTAAGGCTACGGAACTTAGGGGGTTTAGGGTTTAGGGTTTAGGGTTTAGGGTTTAGAGTTTAGGGTTTAGGGTTCAGGGTTCAGGGTTTAGGGTTTAGGGTTTAGGGTTTAGAGTTTAGGGTTTAGGGTTCAGGGTTCAGGGATTAGGGTTTAGGGTTTAGGGTTTACCTGCACGCCGCAACTACCCGTGAATAAAGGGGACATATATACCCTACTGTTACGGTTGAAAGGTAGTTGGGGGGTGCTGGTAGGGCTCAGGGTTTTAGGGCTGAGGGCTTAGGGTCTTAGGGTTTAGGGGGTGTTTCAGGGGGGCCTCAGGGTTTAGGAAATTTGGGGAGTTTGGGGGAATTTAGGATTTGGGGGTTTGGGGTTTCTGGTGTCTTTCGTTGGCTGAGGGGCTCGGACATATTTCGTTGAAGACCCAGGGATGGGAACGGCATGAAAGCTAAACTCTACTTGAAGGTCCGTGGTACTTACTAACCACTTATAACTGTACTTATAACCCTACTTATAATACCCCTAAAGGGCCTTATAGGGGTTATCCCAATTATAAGTAGGGTTATAAGTACAGTTCTAATTGGTTAGTAAGTACCATGAACCTTCAAGTAACCTCGCTGGAGCCCTAAACGCCCGCCAAGGTGCGCGATGCACGTTGCATTGCCAAACCTGCACGATCCAAACCCCCGGCCGTTTGTGACTTTGCTTAACTAACCATATTATAACAAGGGCACCCTTCTTTTCGGGTTGGATACTCCGTATCTAACAAAAAAGGGGAGAAGGGTGCCATTGGACCCTAAACCCCAAACCCCAAACCCCAAACCCCAAACCCAAAACCCTAAACCCAAACCCCCAAAACCCTGGCTAGCAAGGTAAAGAAAAGCAAAGGGTCAGGGAGACGATCACTTCACAACGCCTCGGAGAGGGAGGAGTGGTAAGGTTCAAGGTGCACTGAAGAGAAGAACTTAGGGGCTGAATACCCTAGCCCAAAAAAGGCTAACCTTTCCCTAAACCCTAAACCCTAAACCCCAAACCCTAAACCCTCCTAAACCCAAACCCTAAACCCTAAACCCTAAACCCTAAACCCTAAACCCTAAACCCTAAACCCTAAACCCTAAACCCTAAACCCGAAATTCTTGTAATAGGATTATATGTAGAGCAAGCAAGAGCATCGAGGATACTCCAGAACGCATGCCCGTCCGACCGAAACCCCAAGCATGAACGACGAGCCCGGATCTTGACGACGATTTCAGGATTCGGGGAAAAAGTGCGATCTACCGGGTTTACCCAGGGACGCCCATGAAAGAATATTCCTTAAAGAAAGGAGGGTTCCATAGCTAGTTTAAGAAAGAATTAAGGGGTATTGGGGTCTCTGAGTTCGGGGAGTTGAAGAGCAGTTCCCACCGTCTCGCCGCCCTCGTCGACATCGCGGCCGCACTCGTGCGTGACTCCCCAGACCCAGCCTGGGTGTTGGGGGTTTAGGGTTTAGGGTTGAGGGTTGAGGGTTGAGGGTTGAGGGTTGAGGGTTGAGGGTTGAGGGTTGAGGGTTGAGGGTTGAGGGTTGAGGGTTGAGGGTTCAGGGTTGACCCTAAGCCCTATACATTGGGATGTTCCCCTTTACACTAAGTCCTTCATGGGAATTGTAGTAGGGGCACTAGAATCCCTATTAATTAAGGACTGTCAGGAAAAGGGGAACATCCCAACCAAGCCCTATAAACCCTGAACCCCTGGGTTTACGGTTTCCAGGACTCGGGCATCGGGCTTCGAGGATAGAAGGTTCCGAGGCAGAGCAAGCCAGTGCTTCGGCAAGCAAGCGTGAGACGGAAAGCCATCCGGAAACCCAAGAAACCCAAAAACCTCAGCACCAAGACCCGACCCCAAGGGCCTCCCTCAACCCGAATGGGTTTACGGAAATGGTGGGCTAAGGTCCCCCTAATTTCGGAAACCCCAAATCAGCTTTGGCAGCAGGCATCGACCCGCCCCGAGCAAGTGCTTGAAACCATCAGAATCTTCATAAGAACCCCCTACGGACTGCGTAGGTCGAGGTGCGATATTCAATATCCTGAACCCTAAACCCTAAACCTAAACACTACTAAACCCTAAACCCTAAACACTAAACCCTGCCGCCACTGGAGCCCAGCGTTGGCCGCCATGGAAGTGCCAAGTCCAAGACCACCTGAGAGCGGCTCGTCACCTCGGGGCTCTGGGGGTGCAGGCTTTCGGGTTCAGGATTTAGGGATAGGGTTATAGGGGTTATAGGGGTTATAGGGGTTATAGGGGTTATAGGGGTTATAGGGGTTATAGGGGTTATAGGGGTTATAGGGGTTATAGGGGTTATAGGGGTTATAGGGGTTATAGGGGTTATAGGGGTTATAGGGGATATAGGTGTTTTAGGGGTTTAGGGTTCAGGATTTAGGGATTTAGGATTTAGGGGTTTTGGGTTTAGGGGTTAGAGGTTTAGGGTTTAGGGTTCAGGATTTGGGGTTTGGGGTTTAAGGGTCTTCGGTTTATGGGTTTAGGGGTTTAGGGTTCAGGGTTTGGGGTTTAGGGCTTTAGGGGTTTAGTGTTTATGGGTTTGTGGGTTTGGAGTTTAGCGAGGCCTCCGGGGTTGTAGGCTTTGAGGTTTAGGGTTCAAGGGTCTGCAAGGTTTAGGGCCTTTCTCCGTCTCTCGGCCTCGGGTTTTGGGGGATTCAAGGCTTTAGAGGTTGAGGGTTTCGAGTTTTTTCGGTTTGGGTGTGCAGGGCTTTTTCCACTTTGGGAAACCTAAACCGTAAACCCTAAACCCTAAACTCGCAATTCGGGGCTCCGGCTTTTCGGGCTGAATATTGTTGCGGGGGGGGGGGGGGGGGTTCATGGGAAGTGCTCCTCCGAAAGTAGTGCGGGAGCCCCCGGGAGCCTCAAGATTTAGGGTTTGGGGTTTGGGGTTTAGGGTTTAGGGTTTAGGGTTCGGGGCTTAGGGTTTAGGGTTCAGGGCTTAGGGTTCAGGGCCACACCATCCCGTCGAAAGGGGTAGGCTTCGAAACCATGCGCAAGTGGGTTAGGGGGGGCTTCATCCAAAATATGTGGGCCTTTTGGGCGAACTCGATGAGGATGGGCCTTTTTTCGACCCTGCTTCCCCTTATACTAACAGCCCTTCATAGGGATTGTAGTACCCCCTCATCATAATCCCTATTAAGGACTGCTAGTACACAGGGGGAAAACCCTAAACCCTAAACCCTAAACCCTAAACTTCGAACAACACCTCATGAAGCCGCTTCTCCCGCCAGTTCGGAACAGGAGCTACGACCGCCGAGTCCGTCTGGCTCACGGTCTCGTAATCCTCGCGGCCCGAAACCCTAAACCCTAAACCCTAAACCCCTGAGACTCTAAAACCCTAAAGCCCTGAAACCCTAACACCCTAAAACCCTAAAACCCTAAAACCCTAAAACCCCAAACCCCTAAAACCCTAAACCCTAAAACCCTAAACCGTAAACCCTGAAACCTAAACCCTAAACCCTAAACCCTAAACCCTAAACCCCAAACCCCAAACCCTAAACCCTAAACCCTAAACCCCAAACCCTGACTTGGCGACTTGGCGGCTTGGCATTGGGAAGGTTGCGGAAGGTTCGGCTGCTGCGGGGGTTCCCCCCTTCTAGGGCTCTTAGGGTTTAGGGTTTAGGGTTTAGGGTTTAGGGCTTAGGGCTTAGGGCTTAGGGTTTAGGGTTTAGGGTTTAGGGTTTAGGGTTTAGGGTTTAGGGCCGATGCAGGGGGTGTAGCGTTTGAGCTTTGTTGGGGGCCTGGGGGAGGGGGGGGAGGGGGTTAACAAAACATGGGGAAAGAGTTGCCTGGGTTCATCGTGAAGGCCCCCATGCATGTATCATAACTCTATATATATATATACATATGTATATAT